AATAATAATATAATAATAATAATATAATAATAATAATATAATAATAATAATAATTATTATTTTCTATTTCCGAAGATGAAATCCTGCAATCACTTTCTGTTCCTTTTTTCCAGAACTAGACGTATAGCGACTACAATATGTAGGAAATTATATCTTTACTGGCCTAACACAGATAACGAATTTTAACCAATGTGTAACAAATGTCTTTAAGCATGTTTGTTGGTATTTGTATTAACACTCTTTTTTCTCTCAGCTTAATCTAAATCTTTTAGTATTATTTTTAGAAACTTTTGTACTATTATTCAGATGTATTTTATCATATAGATCTTTAAGCCGAATGGATCACCTCTCAGTCCAAATCAAAACCTGACACTCACAGAAAATGTGACTAGGGGTCTCATATGTTTTCGAAAAAAATAGATATTCTGATTTTTTAGACACACCAAAATGGGTTAATATAATAACGCAGACCATGATGACCGTCAGTTAATCCAGGACTGTCTAGACCAAATAAGATCGCGGGCCAATACATATCACTGAATAAAAAATAATAAAAATAAAAATACGCTGATAATATTAAATTTATTTTTAGTAATTCTTCATAAATTATTTATCTTTTACAATACTATCAATGTCAACATTATTTATATTAGTTGCCATACGAAAAATATTTTATTTTTAATGTTAAGACTCACAGCACTGGATGCGGGCTTTTGGAACCAGTTGTACAAAGGAATATATACTAAAGTCTTTGTCAATTATATAAATTAACGTGAAGTGTAATAAATTATTTAAAACATATTAATTTATTTATTTATTTAGGATGCCATAGAAATAAAATAATATAATGTTACTAAAATATAATAAAGAAAAATTTGCCTAATTGTGATAGATTAGAAACATAAAATATTAGCCGCGGACCTTATGAAGCACATGAGCCGTGATTTGGACAGCCCTAATTTAACCTACCAACAACTCTCGTTGCATTCTATTTTATTGTTGAGGAATGCGTTAAACCATTACGTTAGTTTCTTTAATAAATTTTTTCATATTTAAAATCTTATTAGACTTTTTTCTTAATAATGATTGCAAAAAAAACTCTAAATGTGTATGCAAATATTACTACATATCTAAATTGATACTTTGTTTCAACTATTAAAATAATTGTTAGTCCTCATATGCTCATTAAGATACTTAGTATATAAAATATTTTTTTTAATTGCTTCAACTCTAAACTTTCAAGTTTAAAAATGAAATCAGCATTTGAGTTCATTTGTTGTAATTATTCGATCGTTCATTCGCTCATGAACTTTTTCAAATTATATTATTTTTTGTTATTGAAATGTTTTGTATAATTTTTCTTTTTTTTACTTTTGTGAATATCAAAAACAAATAAAACTAAATACAATTTTTTTTTCAGGTGTTTACAATTGCATTCATTTTATACAATACATAATATTCATTTTAATAAAACCAAAATGCATGAATCATACAAATTTTAGCTTTTCAATAGAAAAATCAAAAATATTTCATAGAAAATTTCCATATGAAACTTCAAAAACGACAAGAAGTTGTAATTATTTCGGAACAGTTGGACGTTGGACGTTGGTAGCTTAGGTGCTAACAAAAGGTGAACTCTGATGAAGTAACAAAAAATTACCTCAAATTACAGACCAAAGGAATTCCTACGAATCACGTTTTTTTTTTAAATAGAAAAATTCAATTCACTTCTTGATTGATGGTGGGAGAGCTATGGAGTGCATATAAAAGTATTAACTGAATATTGTAATTTATGAAGAAAAAAAGTCTTACCTAACATTTTTAAATTGAATAAAATTAATTTATTTAAGCAAGCTTAATGATTTAACATTATCTTAGATCATAATATATCTATAACTCTTTACATATGTATATGAAATTTATGTATGTTATGGAGTTTATATATTCGGAAACCAGCGACGAATTTTGAAAAAGTTTCTTCTATGAAGTATTAATCAAGCGAGGAAGATATTGAGCCATGTTTGGGAGTGACTGCAAAGGTGGCATTAGACTGACAAAAAAAATGCAAAAATGTATCTATTTCATAAATATTTAATAAAAATAAAAAATTTATTAAACAAAGTTATGGTAATGTGAAGAATCGAAAATTAAATTTATTTAGTTTTAGTTGACTTTGAGTTTTTTATAAAAATTATTAAAAAGAAATATTGTTTTTTACTAAAAAAAAAAGACCACTCTAAAAAAGCCATAATAGACCGACAATGTGGATATATTGAACTGATTAAAACACCAGAACCATCATATTTTTTTTTAAAAACGTATACATTTATTTATTATATCTTCTCTTACAATGGGAGTAACAATAAGTTATGAAATCTTATACTAATCACATAATACTATAATTTTTATTTTAACTATAGATTGTATAAAAAAATAAGTAAAATAAGTAAACCTTATATCACGGACCTCGTGGATGTTAGATTTCATTGGCGTGGATGTTAGGTGGTTTATTAAGAAAGCAATTAAACTTTATCAGACTACTAAAAAGAAGAATTGAGTTTTTACTTGAAGCGATTGAATTTTAATTAATGGCTGGACGGTATGAACTTTTTAGGCGTTAAATAGATGTGCGAGATTCCTAGCTAAAGGGTTAATATGTTCTGTCAAACTTTTATTGTTTTTTTTTCTTACATTGTCAAAATCAGCTGTAACTAATAATATTTATTGATCTCAGTGGATACTTTCATTCCTAATATACCTTGAGGCACTAGTGATTGTTCTCAGTATTTTTGACTGACCTCATTATTTAAAGTACTACCATTACCAAATAGCTGAATACCATAAGTTCATATTCTTGCGCGAAGTTAGTCGCTTGTCTAGGTGAATACCTAAGTACGTTATATTATCTGCTTGTGGTATAGGAATAATATTAAATAATATTATTGGAGATATACTCCGATTTAAGGTAAAGAACATATATGATAACGAAGTTGGATTCGTTTAGAACAAATTAGATTTGGGAAAACAAAAGACGAAAGCTAAAGACAAAATATATAAAATAACAAAAAAGAATTTATAAATAATATAAGAAATTAAAATAAAAGATATAAATAAAGTAAAAAATTAAAATAAAATACAAAATTAAAATAAAATTAAAATAAAATAAAAAATTAAAATAAAATAAAAATAAATAAAAAAGAAAGTCAAAAATAAAATAAAAAACTAATAATAAGATGCACAATAAAAATTAAATAAAAAATAAAAATAAAATATTTAATAATAAAAATAAAATATTTAATAATAAAAATAAAAAAATAATAATGTAAATATATATGAAAATATTTTAATTTTAATTTAAGTAAAAAAAACATTGCTTGCAATATTTGCAACCTACTACCAAAAATTAATAAATTTTAAGCAAAGATATTTTTTTTTTATTATAAAAACTAAAAGTTTTTTCTTTATATGTATATAAAACTCCATCAATAATACAAATTTTTAAAAATTTTGTATAAGCCAATCCCCATTAACTGAATACTGCCATGACCTAAACATTTCTTGTTTTGAGTCTTGTATAAATTGAATATAAACATTCCACGAAATAGAGTCGAAAGTGACTGACGCATAACCCAGTAGGTGGCTTCAGCAAAAATT